CATTCTTCCAGCCCGATGTCATCTCAGGGAAATCTTCACTGGTGGTGCCTCAGCCCAGGTCCTTGTTATGTGCTCTCTTAGCAGCTATTTACTGGTTTTTGTTTTGTTTTGTTTTGTTTTTTCAAGGCAGAGTCTCGCTGTGTCACCCAGGCTGGAGTGCAGTAGTACGATCTCGGCTCACTGCATCCTCCACCTCCCGAGTTCAAGCGATTCTCCTGCCTCACCCTCCTGAGTAGCTGAGACTACAGGCGTGTGCCACCACACCCAGCTCACTTTTTGTATTTTTAGTAAAGATGGGGTTTCACCATGTTAGCCAGGATGGTCTCAATCTTCTAACCTCATGATCCGCCTGCCTTGGCCTCCCAATGTACTGGGATTACAGGCGTAAGCCACTGTGCCCGGCCTATTTACTATTTTTTTAGACCAGATCTCACTCTTTTGCCCAGGCTGAGTGCAGTGGTGTGATCCTAGGTCACTGAGCCTCCAGCTCCTGGGTTCAAGGGATCATACTGCCTCCGCCTCCTGAACAGCTGAGACTACAGGAGCACACCACTACACCTGGCTAATTTTTAAATTTTTTGTAGAAATGGGTTTCCGCTATGTTGGCCAGGCTGGTCTCTCACTCCTGGCCTCAAGTGATCCTCCCACCTTATTTCCCAAAGCACTGGGATTACAGACAAGAGCAACCACACCCACCCCTATTTACTTTTTTATTGTTTCCCCCTGACACACACCCCCACTCCAGCAGAATTTAAATCCCATGAAGGCAGGGACTTGTTCACTGTTCTTTGCCCAGGGTTCAAATGTGTGTTGAGTGAATAAGTCATATTTACCACTATTTGTTACCTTATGTCAATATTGTTATTGGATTCATATCTGTCTCTCCCACTAGACTGTAATCTCTCTAGGGTGGGAGCTCACCACTGTATGCCACCATTGTATGCCAGCATTTGCACCATAGGAGGCCTTCCACAAACCTATATTGAATATTATATATATATCTCAGCATCCCAAGTAGCTGGGACCACAGGTGCAAGCAACCACACCTGGCTAACTTTTAAACTTTTTGTAGAGACAGGGTCTCACCATGTTGCCCAGGCTGGTCTTGAATTCCTGGACTCAAGCAATCCACCTCCTTTGGCCTCCCAAAGTGCTGGGATTACTGGTGTGAGCTACCGCGCCCAGCCTGGATATATTTTATCTCAATTGTGTTAGAAATGCAGCAGAAAAATCACACCGAAAAAGTAATATTGACTGTGTTCAGATTATGACAATATTACTGATTTCTTTCTGTCTCCAGAAAAAAAAATTGATGGAAAAGTGAAAACACAAATAAAAATTCACAATTAAACAAAAAGAAGAAATAGCTCCATATATTGTAGATATTGTATAATAAAAAAATAAAATGAAAAATAATAAGCTAAAAATAGAAATGATACCTATAATTAATCTACTCTAAAACATCAGGTGTTTTCAACTTTTTTTTTTCAGTGTGCCCAAAAGGGGAATCATTTTTACATAGCTATAATCATAGATAAATGTTGTATTTTCATTTTCCTGCTTCATGTTATGTCATGTGCATTTTCCCAGGATTCTATGTTGTCTACATAATTATTGTTAACAACTCAGTGCTCAGTTAAATTAATGTTCTTGGGGTGGGGTTATTGCTGTAAGATAAATTTCCTGGTGTGGATTTCAAAGTATATGAGTACTTTCAGGGAAATACAGATTTCTGGCTTCACTGGCCAGAAGACAGAAAAGAAGCAGGCAGTGGTGGGTATGCACACAACCGTGGAAGGAAAGCTTGAGGTACGATTAAGTGAACTGTGGTTACTTTTAAAAGAGAGTCAGGGCTCGGCATGGTGGCTCATGCTTGTAATCTCAACAGTTTGAGAGGCTGAAGCGGGAGGATCGCTTGAGGCCAGGAGTTCAAGGCAAGCCTGGGCAACAGAGTGAGATTCTGTCTCTACAAAAATCAGTCAGGGACGGTGGTCCCAGCTAAGGAAGGAGACCACTACTACTCCTGCTGCCCTCCTCCCCCCACCTTGCCTAGTTCACAAGACAGGAGGAAAGAGAGAAAGCAAAAAGTTAGAAAGAAACAAAAGTAAGATAAATAGCCAGACAACCTTGGCACCACCATCCGGCCCTAGGAGTTAAAAAAAAGTAATAATAATAACATCAACCCCGACCTAAACTACTTGTGTTATCTGTAAATTCCAGACACTGTATGAAAAAAACATTGTAAAACTTTTTCTGTTAGCTGATGCATGTAGCCCCCAGTCACGTTTCCCACGCTTGCTCGATTTATCACGACCCTTTCACGTGGACCCCTTAAAGTTGTAAGCCTTTAAAAAGGCCAAGAATTTCTTTTTCAGGGAGCTCGGCTCTTAAGACGCGAGTCTGCCAACACTCCCGGCAGAATAAAAACCTCTTCTTTCTTTAATCTGGTGTCTGAGGAGTTTTGTCTGCAGCTCGTCCTGCTACACAGCTGCTGGGGAGGTTGAGGCCAGAGGATCACTTGAGCCTAGGAGGTCAAGGCTTCAGTGATCTATATCGCACCACTGCACTCCAGCCTGGGCAACAGAGTGAGACGTTGTCTCTAGAAATAAATGCAGAAATAAAGAAAATGTGTAAAAAGAGAGTCAATATTACACCAAGCCCGTATGGGGGAAAATGTTGTTTATATGAAACATTTCTAAGTCAAGTAGCTTGACTGTCTCCTGAAATGAGACCGATGTTTTCAGAAACAGAGAAAGGTGGTGCCAGCTTTTGGGGAACTGACAATTAGGGAGGGCTCCAAGGAAGGGGAGGTCGTGTACAAATGTGGGTCATTAGTAAGTGAGGTGTTCATAAGTTAGAGGCAGCCAGTATTGGTTAGAAGCAGATACTTAGGATCTCTTAGTCTGCTCTGTTAGTAAATGAAGTAGCAATAGAGACAGGAGTACCAGGCATCAGAGGGAGGAAATGGCAAAAAATTTGCATTGAGGCACCAATGCAAATTCTGTAAGTTGAACATGTTGATTGCTGTCTAGTGCTTTGCAAAATGCAAGTCTGGGCAGGGTGACCTCTGGCTCCTTTCTCGAATATTTTATAAAATAGCAGTATCATAGCCCCAAGCAGGAGCCTGAGTTGCAGCCATCTCAGTTCATTGCCTTTTAACTCCAGATTTGCCACTTCGCAAATATCTTGCTCTTCAGTTCCTTAGCGATACAAAGACCCTAACACTGTGCTTTACAGCAGACCCTGGATAAAGGATAACAGCTGCTGAGCCACACGGAATACTTTTCAAAGCAGCAGAATCTCCCAAGGTTGGAACCCAACAACTTGCCTAACTTTTTCATTAGTGCTATCTAAAAGCAACCACTCTATAAGCCTTGTCATCATGTTCTTCAGACTCCACTTTCTGTTCATTTTGCCTCCGTCCAGGAACATCTCCCTCTGAATTAGGGACCTCTCATTTCCAAACAGTTCTAGAGTCTTCCTTAAATAGAGCAAAATGATCTACTTTGAAAAAAGTATTAATAAATCGCAACAACTGGTGATTTAATTAAGAACTTAAAGCAGCATTTTCATTTGAAAGAGAATTGGGCAGGAAAGAGGAGGAGAGAAGAAAAAAAAGTAATAAGATTTCAGGCCACATGTTCTGACAATATGGGGCAGACATATTTGTGCGCCGCATGGTTTTTCTGTCCATCTCAAATTACCCCACTACCTTTGCATTAGACTTGTGCTCACTCATGGGCTTTTGTGTTTTTGTGTGTAAAGAACTTCATTATCTAAGACCATTATATTCGGCAGGGTGCGGTGGCTCACGCCTGTAATCCCAGCACTTTGGGAGGCAGAGGCAGGGGTGATCATTTGTGGTCAGGAGTTCAAGACCAGCCTGGTCAACATGGCAAAACCCCGTCTCTACTAAAAATACAGAAATTAGCCAGGCGTGGTGGCGGGCGCCTGTAATCCCAGTTATTCAGGAGTCTGAGGCAGGAGAATCACTTGAACCCGGGAGGCAGAGGTTGCAGTGAGCCAAGATTACACCACTGCGCTCCAGCCTGGGTGACAGAGAGAGACTCTGTCTCAAAAAATAATAATCATAATAACAAGAGTGTTACATTCAATAATTTCTTTTCTGCATGTTAGCTTTTATCTTTGACCACTGGATGGACAAGCAAGTATCCTATTTGTTACATTCACTGTTGAATCCATTGCCTACCTGGGGCCTCATAAACACTAAATTGATTAACATTGCTCAATAAACATTTAATGAATTAACAAGTGAATGAATGAGTAATCAAAATGAGAATATTCTAGTTTCTGCATGTCATTAGAACATCTATCATTCAATTGCATTATTAGGTCAGGTTTTAGCACATTGCTTAATCCAGGTTGTCCTCATCAGCCTGATGATTAGTTTAACTACTGGCAAAAACTTTTACTTTGCCATCATGTTTACAAAGAATACTAAAAAAGAAAAAAAAAGAATATACCTAAAATACATTCAATGTTGAAAGGGAAATTCTGATTAGAGCCATTTTTTTTCTAGACTCATAGATTATGCTGCTCCTCCATTAGGTAAAGTTTAGCCCATCACATGAATTGGCATTAGATGTGAATGAATTTAAAGAGTGCATTGAGGCTGGACCAGGTGGCTCACTCCTGTAATCCCAGCACTTTGGGAGGCTGAGGCATGCAGATCACTTGAGCTCAGGAGTTCGAGACCAGCCTGGGCAACATGGTGAAACCCTATGTCTACTAAAAATAGAAAAAATTAGCTGGTCATGGTGGTATGCGTCTGTGGTCTCAGCTACTTGGGAAGCTGAGGTGAGAGGATCACTTGAGCCCAGGAGGTGGAGGTTGCAGTGAGATGAGGTTGTGCCACTGTACTCCAGCTTGGTGACAGAGTGAGACCCCCATCTCAAAAAAAAAAAGTACATTGATTTAAGGATGAGCTTGATGTTAAGAAAATAAATAAAGACTGCGCTAATGTTTTTATTTTATTTCAGCAAACTTCAGAAGACAAAGAGGGATATCAGATGGCTTCAGGGAGTGACTGGTGAATGGTTTGAAGAAATTCAAAGAAAAAAGTTTTGCAACGAAACAGATGTTAGCCAGATGTTAAAACAACCACTTACATACAGGCTAAGGAAGGAGATGGCAAAAAATGGTAAGAAAAAGACTTTAGATTTAAAGTTGGTTTCTTTTTTTCTGTGGCATAGTATTGTAGATAATGGCCCAGTGGATCTCCAATGTAACCAATCCATGTTTAGAAATATTTTAAAGTCGTAAGCCACAAAAGTTTATAATACAATATACACTTAAAAAAAAGTGAACTGAAATTTTACTGTAATAATGTCTTGGGGTTTTTTGTTTTTTGTTTTTGTTTTTTTGAATCGGACAAGATAGCATAGTGGGTAGGAATATAGACTGTGATGTCAACAGAGGCCTGGATTCCAATCTACTCTGTCTCTATTCATGTGAGTCTGTTCAAGTCATTTACTCTCTGTAAACCTCAGTTTCCTCATCTTTACATGGATACAATGATACCTACACCTCATAAGGTGGTTATGAGAATTAAGTAAAATTATGTGTATAGTGTATTAAGCTGGGCGGGGGCAGTGGCTCACAATTGCAATCCCAGCACTTTGGGAGGCTGAGGCAGGAGGTGGCAGGTGCCTGGAGTTTGAGACCAGCCCGGGCAACATGGTGAAACCTCATTTCTACAGAAAAATACAAAAATTAGCTGGACGTAGTGGTGCCCACCTATAGCCCCAGCTACTCTGGAGGCTGAGGCGGGAGGATTAGTTAAGCCTAGGAGGCAGAGGTTGCAGTGAGCTGAGATCATGCCACTGCACTCCGGCCTAGGCAACAGAGTAAGACTGCACCTCAAAAAATAAATAAATAAATAATAAAATACTAAGCTGGAACAGGGTAAGCACTTAAATAAATGGGATGACTATGATGAAGGGGGAGGAAGAAAAAGCGGAGGGGTGGAGGAAAGGAGAATCAGAGATCAGAGAAGGGAGGGAAGGTGGTGGAGGAGCTGCCACACTTCTGGAACTTTGGTAAACTCTATGAATGAGTTCTAATAAATGCCTTCTATATAGAAAAAAAGAACACTTGCTTTCACAGGGCTATTGCGAAGATAACCAAAGTGCACTAGAAACTATAAAATACTAAAATAAAGTATCTTTTTACTGGCGCAGAGTCACATTGACTACTTTTTTGCATGTTATTAACATTAGTAACATCATGAAACATGTAAAAATAATTCTAAACTTCTATATTGATAATATCTTGCAACTCTCATAATAAACATATCTGTGTTTATTACATATCTGAACTCACAGTTCAGATTTTTTAGATCACCCCCATACATACCCTCTTGACTTTTCCCTTGTCCTAAATTCTCCTAATATTTATAAAGTCAGCATGTCCAAAATCATTATAATATCATGGATTTTTTAAAATTTTATTTATTTATTTATTTTGAGATGGAGTCTCACTCTGTCACCCAGGCTGGAGTGTAGTGGCGCCATCTTGGCTCATTGCAACCTCCACCTCCCAGGTTCAAGCGATTCTCCTACCTCAGCTTCCTGAGTAGCTAGGATTATAGGTGTGCGCCACAACGCCTGGCTAATTTTTTTGTATTTTTAGTAGAGATGGGGTTTCTCCATGTTGGCCAGGCTGGTCTCGAACTCTTGACCTCAGGTGATCCGCCCATCTCAGCCTCCCAAAGTACTGGGATTACAGGCGTGAGCCACTGTGCCTGGCCAATATTATGGATTTTGTATATGTTGATGTTGCCTTTGAATTTGTAATACCCGTATATTATCTATACATATATATTATACATAAACAGGTTGAATATCCGTTATCTGACATGTTTGGGACCAGAAGTATTTCTGATTTCAGATCTTTTTGGATTTTGAAATATTTGCATTATATAAACTGAAAAGTTGAGCATCCCAAATCCAAAAATCCCTAATCTGAAAGGCTCCAGTGAGCATTTTCTTTGAGCATCATGTTGGTGCTCAAATTCTTTTGGATTTTGGAGGAATTTTGGATTTCAAGTTTTTTGGGTTTAGGATGCTCACCCTGTATATGTTACATGCGAACACATATATAAACCATGTATGTAGCAAATACATATCCACAGAGATAGATTTTGGAAACGAATGAAGAACAATCTAAATGACTTAATTTCCTTTTCCTCTACTTTCTTCAGTATAAGAAGTTATGTAGTATGTGTCTATCACCATTGTTATAAGGTACTGAAATAAAAACTTCTGAAGGACAGCATGGTTAAGCAACATGAGAATTGAATGGGGTCCCTGACTTCCTAGCTTGGGTGAGAGGAAGAACACTGTAGGGAATTTGATTCACAGTACACGTGGAAACGTTCCCTACTATTTGAGTTTTCTGTACGCGGCAGAACCATCAGAGGGGCAGGAGAGAGGTGGTTCTGACTCCCTTAGTCCCTGAGGTCTTCATGTGAGGTTGCCTGCCCTGTCTCTAGTCTGCATAGAGGGAGAAAGTGACATAAGAGCAGAGGCTTCATTCTTTCAAGTATATTTACTTGGAAATAATTGATGTAAAATTTTTACAATTTTTTTTTTTTTTAGATCCAATAGAATTACCTACATCAAGATCTAAAAATGTAACTAATCAAAAGAAGCCAACACCTTTTTCTTCCCGGATGAGCTTCAGGTCGTCATTTGCTTCCCTGTTCTCATTCAGGAAATCTGGAAAGGAGACTTCAAAGCTTCCATCGCTGGGACAGAAAGGGTGAGTTAAACTCAGGTCATGTTACGGCCCATTTGTTATCCGATATCAGAGGCCAGCAGCCTGTTTTGTGTTCAAAGTGTTTAATGTTTGTTCTTAGAATTTCAATTCAATTGGTATTCATAACAAAGGAAATGGGACTTAGCTTGCATAGTGATGAAGTTCTTAGGAAACCACGAAATTTGGCTCACCTGAAATCCAACTTCTAACGAACTACAGCGTGCATTGGTGGTGCATTTGGTGAGTGATGGGTTAAATATTGGGAAATAGTGATTGCCAGTTTTTCCACTGCTCCAAGAGTCTGGCCTATGCCCTGGCCAGGAAGATATATTTAAATAAAAACTATTCCTTCTTTGCAGAGTATGTGGCCTGGTCACGTCCTGGTCACAAGGAGAGTTGGGGTATAAAGACTAGGTGAGCGAAAATGTGAGACAAAGAGACTAGAGATAAACAGAATTCTAAAACAGAGTGAGGAAATGTGATTACTGTTACTAGAAATACTGTTCCCATGTGTTTGCTCAGAATGTATAAGGTGAGGGAAGAGAAGCTTTTGGAGCAGCGGAAACTTAGTTCCAGATGGTTCCCAGTTTAGAACTGTGCAAATCAGTTCACTTGACTCAGTATGTTGTTGGATTACTTTGTAAAAAACAAGCAAGGCTGTGCTTAAGTGCAATCGAGCTGACTGCTAAATATTTTCGGCATGTCTTCCTGGTTGCAAAGCTTCCCACCCTCTTAAGGTGTTGGCTTGGCACGTGATGTGTTCCGTGTGCCGTCAAACCACATGGCGTGTTGCAGCACTAAATAAAAGGTGTTGGAGGTCACTGTCGCTGAGAAACAAGAGGCAGCAAGCAGCTGGTGGGTCGTGTGATGAGGCTGCTGGATTTAGCAGACCACTGTCCTCCCCTCTTGGGTGAATGGAGGGTTTTTCACTTCCAGCTTTCACCCGAGGCTGTTTTTGTCTGATGAAAAAAAGAGCTGACCACAATGTAGATTTATGTGACTGTAGCTACCAGAGTCACTAGCAAGGAAATACTCTTCAAATAGGTGAGTCGTTTCTCTTTGTAAAAATTTTTGAGAGACTAGTGATTCTCGCATTTGGGGGATTTAAAATTGAGAAAATGTTTCTTGCACAGTAAATATTTCTTTGAGGGAGAAAAAAATATTTCCACTGCACGGTATAGCTAGGATTTGTGATATCATTTGTATCTTAGGTGATTTTCTTTAAGGCAGAATGTTGTATAGCTGAACCATCTAATATTAGTAAACCGGGAAAAGTTGAGGAACCTGTTAATTCTATGGGCAAGTTATTTCCAAGCTCATATTGCAGATCATTGCAAAGGTGGATCAAAGAAGATATGGATCTATAATCTTCATTCTGGGTATCATGTTTTTTGGCTATAGACCAAACTGGAAAACATTAAAACTCTTGCAACATTCTGTTTAGCAAATGTTCTTCTTAGATATCGAAATACTTGCAGCTGTCTTTTAACAGGGAGAATTGAAACATAGACACAACATGCAGAAATAAAATAAATATGATCATTTAAGTATATTTATGTGTGTTTAGTAGTTTTCAGAATTTGTCATCTTCAAATGCATTTTACTTTCAAAACATAAATGGAATATTTAACATTTATCTTATTATTATTGATATTGATAAGTATTTATTATTTCTGCTGGTGCAGAATATAATTAAAGGCACTGGATTTTGCTCCTAAGAGGTTTCAGAAGATGAAATATAAAATCATGTTGTTTTTATTTTTAAATTTGAATGTGACCTAAATATTTGGATATGAATCCTATATGTGGGAGAAGAAGTGTTTATTAAAGGGGGCATTGTATTATGAGGAGGTGATATAAATCAGGTCATACATTATGAAGGGCTTATAATCTCAGGTAGAACCTAACTTTCTTTGGCAGTGTTGATCTGAAATAGAAAATCAATCTGCAAAATGGACTGTGATTCAGGAGCTCCTCCTTACCTACAAGCACCCTGGGAGGGACTGACAAATGGCCCAGGGACACACAGTCATCCTCTGCAGGCAGCAGTCAGGTTTCTACTTGCTGAAGCCATCAAGGGCTTGACTGGCACACTCAGTGCTCTGGAAAACAAATCAGTAAAGCAATTTAGAGGATCTTTTGCAAATCGGAGAAAAAGAATCAACACAAGGTGAAAGATAGCCTTCTGATCAGCACTTTAAAACGTGCTTATCAGAGACTTTTTTTTTCTCTTTTTTAAGCTTTGGTTCTAACTGAGAAATGCACTGGGTAATAGGCAACCCTCCCCAGAAGAACATGGACTTCATCATTTCACCAGATTCACTTGTTCCCTTTAAGGCCTAGCCAATAATAGGATATGATATCTTCAAGCTCTGATTTCCTAATATCAGAGATAAAAAGCCATAGGAACACAGTGACCTGGTGAATTTGTAAAAAATGTAAAAAGAAAGGCCTGTCATGGCGGCTTATGCCTGTAATCCCGGCACTTGGGGAGGGCAAGGCGGAAGGATCACTTGAGCCCAGGAATTTTGAGACCAGCTTGAGCAACATGCTGAAACCCCATCTCTACCAAAAAGATAAATTATCTGGGCATGGTGGCGCAAGCCTGTAGTTCCAGCAACTTGGGAAGGTGAGGTAGGAGGATCACTTGAGCCTGGGAGGTGGAGGATACAGTGAGCCATAATCATGCCGCTGCACTCCTGCCTGCGTGACAGAGTAAAACTCTGTTTCAAAAAAAAAAAAAAAGGCAAAAAGATTGACCACTTCTGCCTCAGATACGATTTGCTCCTCTTCTCAAACATATACACTTCCCAAATTATCCCATTATGATTTTAATCCTATTCATAAATGATTGACCCCACTCCAACCCCAGGAAAAAAGAAAAATACTTTCCATTTCTGTTTTAATGTATACATTCCTAGCCAATAAATCCAAGAAAAGTATACATATATACATGTAGCTTTCCCTCAACATCTTCCTGCAAGTCATGTTTCCACGGGTCTTATTCTGGGGTATCTAGTGCATGTAACATGTGCTCAGCCCCTACCATAGAATTTCAGTAACTTTGTCATCTCACAAATGCCTTCCACAGGGCATCCAATGGTGTAAGTCATACATGCAGTCTTCTCAGCTGCCAAGCAGAATCTATAGTTGTTCCTTTCTTGTTCCAGACCCCCAATTATTCCAGTGATGCCCTCCCTACTACGAATAAGTGATGTGCATTGCCCTTCGGATGCAAAGAGCTTTGGGGGATCCACCTAGCTACTCTCAGGCATGTCCAAAGTTTCCTGACCCATAGGGTGTACACAGCTCAGACAGTCCAGCTGCAAACTCTAGGTTACATAAGTAAAAAGGTCAAATTCTATTTTGGAAAACTAAAAGGGCAGATCATTTTTTTTTCCTGGTCTCTCTGTCTCTTGATCTCTCTCTCTGTTACCCCCCTTCTCTCCTCCTCCCTCCCTCCTCCTTCCAAATGCCCTACTGTGTACTCTTGCTTGTTGCTAGTTGAGTGCCTATGTCTGAGTTGGAAGACACAGGAATCTAAGACACCTAGATTGCAGGAGAAGTCAGAGAAAGCAAGCTCCTTCTTTGGAAATGCTCCTTCTGTGATTCCAGGCATGGTGTCCACAGATAAATGGCAGCATTGTGGTGGCAAGAGGGAGAAACAAGACAAGGGGAGTGGTTTTGAGTGTTATCCCGGGTGGCTTATGGTTCCCAGCTGGTCTGATCGATCATTATTAGAATCTCATCAGCAATTGTTAAATGAAGACAGACAATCAGGCTCCAACCTGGTGCTTTTGAAGTAAGGCACAGGGAGCTTTACTTATTTATTTTTAATTCTCCAGAATATTTGGGTACTCATTCAAGTTCAGGAAGTGCTGCAGCTTAGCTTCCTCTCACTCTGGTAAGGGCTGTCAGAATTTTTGGCATGGGGGATAAAAGCCAGGTAATAGCTTCCCTTTCATGTATTTATCAAGCTTCTGTCCCCCTCTGGATCAGACCCTATGTTAAGTGCTGGAAATCAAACAGTGAAATGAAAGCAAAGTCCCCGCCTGGAGGATTTTATATTCTAGTGGGGAATACCATATTGCTGCATAGGTCAGGCAGGCAGCATGCCACAGAACTTTAGGATGTGCCACTTGCATCATGACCGTCATGGATTTGTACATGTCTTATGGCAATTTCCAGCAAATGACAGGAAGGGGTCTTGAGAAAGGGGTGCCCTGTAGAATTCACACAGGGATGCCATGTGGCCTAGCTGCCTAAGTAACAGCTGGGTACAGTGACAATGACAGTAGAAGGTGGTGAGTGCTATGGTGACGCATGATGTTCCTGCCAGGAAACAATGTAGAAGCACTTAGCTCAGACTAGAGGATCAAGATCCCTTCCTGGAAGAGGACAGCTAATTTTTGAAAAACAAATAAGACTAAGCCAGGCAATTAAGAATCCAGACGCTGCACTTGGCCAAAGAAATGACATAAACCAAAGTGCAGAGAGTGGAGAAGGCAGGAATTCATCTAGGTCACTGAGGTTCAGTGACCCAGTACAAGGTGAGGGCTGATAAGCGATGGGGGAGGAGAGGTTGGCAGACGCCACAACACAGGGGCCTTATATGTGCACTGCCCCTAAGGAGCTTGGACTCATTCCTGCGGGCAGTGGGGAGAGCCATTAATACTTTTAAAATAATACCACTCTTCTCCTTGTTTTATACATATGACGGATAAAATCACCCAAAGCCAGCTCATCTGGACAAACCCTAACCTTTTGGCATATTTCCATGTGTGTACATGCATCCATTGACAGTTTTTAAACAGAGAAGTGACATAATTGGGTCTTCATTTTAGAGAGATTACTGTAGCCCAGTGGTTTTCAACCAAGCGTGATTTTGTCACCCAAAGGAATTTTGGCAATGTTTGAAAACATTTTTGGGTCAGAGGTGGTGGCTGCCTCTAATCTCAGCGCTGTGGGAGGCTGAGGCAGGAGGCTCACTTGAGGCCAGGAGTTTGAAATTAGCCTGGCCAACACAGTCAGGCTGCATCTCTACAAAACATTAAAAAATTAGCCAGGCATGGTGGCACACACCTGTAGTCCTAGCTACTTAGGAGGCTGAGGCAGCAGGATTGCTTAAGCCCAGAAGGTCAAGCTTCAGTGAACTTTGATTGTGCTGCTGCACTCCAGCCTGGGCAACAGAGCAAGACCCTATCTCAATAAAAAGAAAACATTTTTGTTTTCCACAACTGAAGAGGGGAGGGTGCAATTGGGATCCAGTGGGTAGAGGCCAGGGATGCTGCTAAACATCCTACAATGCTCACAACAGAAACGTCAACAGTGTAGAGACTGAAAAACTTTCTTCTAGCCGTATGCAAAGAATAGATTTGAGGGGGCAAAATTAGGGTCAGGGAGACCAAGTAGAGATTGCTGAGATAATGGTGGCCTAAACTAAGGTAGAGGCAAGAAGGAAAACAAAAGAATAGGCAGATTTATACAAGATTTAGAATGTAGGCCAGGCGAGGTGGCTCACGTCCGTAATCCCAGCACTTTGGGAAGCCGAGGCAGGTGGATCATGAGGTCAGGAGTTCACGACTAGTCTGGCCAACATGGTGAAACCCCGTCTCTACTAAAAATTAGACAAATTAGCCAGGTATGGTGGCGGGTGCCTGTAATCCCAGATACTTGGGAGGCTGAGGCAGGAGAATCGCTCGAACCCGGGAGGCAGAGGTTGCAGGGAGCTGAGATCGCACCACTGCACTCCAGCCTGAATGACAGAGCGAGACTCCATCTCAAAAAAAAAAAAATGTAGACTCATGAGAACCTAAGAAATGAATGTGGTGGGTAAGGAAGAGAGAGAAGTAGAGATGAACTGTCCACTCTGACTGAGGAAACTCCCTATGGCAGAACGGATCTAGGAAGGTGAGTTATGAGGCTGGAAAGTATGCAGGAACTAGATCATACAGGGCTTTATGAATGCAGAAAAAAATTTCAACTTTCACCTGAGAGCAAATGGAAGTCTGCAGAGAAGTGGCATGATTCAGTTTATATGGATCACTCTGAATAAAGCGTAGAGGATTGGTTGGATTGGGACAAAAACCTGGACACAAAGGACAGTTAAGAGGCTATTACAGCAAAAAAGCCAAAAGATGATAAATGTCTTAACTAGGGTAAAGTCAGGGAGATGTTAGAGATGTGGATGGGTTTGAGAGGGATTTCTGAGTTTGAATCAACAGAATTTGTTGATTAGGTGGATAGGAAGGACTGCAATGGAAGGAGGACATAGATTCTGTTTTGGACAAGTAGGACAGTGGGTAAAGTGTGCCCCACCAACACTTGGGGGGAAATCACCCAGGGTTCCAGTTAGAAAAGGATATTCTTGAGCCCCACCCTACTCTATTGAGTGAGAATTTCTGAATGGTGTCTGTAAAGGTGTGGAAATGAGAGAATATTTAATGAAGGTGGAATTAATTTGACAAATCTAGAGTACAGGTACCTGTGGAAGGGTGGAATGTGAGCAGATGAGACTTGAAGGGCACTGGATTATCCAGGAGTGTTTGCCAGATTAAAGAAAAGCCTTATGTCATGTTAAGATTTTGATTTTTAAAATTTTCTTAATTTTTTGTATTTTTAGTAGAGACAGAGTTTCACCACGTTGGCCAGGCTGGTCTCAAACATCCGACCTCAAATGATTTGCCCACCTCAGCTGGGATTACAGGTGTGAGCCACTGCGCCTGGCCTCATGTTGAGATTTTGGATAATACTTTATTGTAAGATTTTTAGGCAGGGGATTGATAAGATCAAATTTGCATTTTAGACAGATCTTTCTATTGGTGGTGTGAAGGATGGAGAGGAGTCCAGAAGAAAAACTGTGAAAGTTGACGCTCAGGCAGAATGACTGGAGATGGAGAAATGGGGATATATGTGAAATATCTCAGGTACAGCATCAATAGGACTTGTGGGTAAATGCAGAAGACGAGGTAACTTAGTATCCCTTGAAATGACCAAGTCCAGGGGGCTTTTACCAGCATAGTTTTAATGATACCACTGTTGCTTTTATTGACTCTCCAAGTGGAAACTCTTCACATCAGAAACATAAATTAACTTGTGGGAAGGCCTGGGAGTGGGTGCAGAGACTCTGGGCCCCGAAAACTGCTGAGTCCTATACTCTTCTCCGCAAGTCCACAGGAGCACACGCAACCATGGCACTCTTAGGCAAGCATGTGTCCTTCCACTCGCTGCATGCCCTCACACTTGGTGGTAGCATCCCAACTGTGCTCCAGGCACCCTGTGGTCCTTTAGCTGCATCTCCCTCACACCTGCCATTCTCAGAAACCTGCTCCTGCTGCCCTCACTCCAAAGACTGTGGGGAAGCACCGTAAGGGCTGTAGCCCAGCAGGATTCCAGAAAGAACCTTCACAGTCTGGCATGTAGTCCTGGCTCCAGGCATATTGGATTACTTGCCAGTCCCCGACCTCCCTTGCAGTGCCCCCATCTCCAAGCTTTTGCTCAGGCTATTCTTTAGCCTCTTGTACTGCTTCCACTGCCATCTTCCTATTGCCTTCCCTGTTTGTCCCAGGAAGTGCTTGCTGGCTGGCCCCTCTGCATTTCCCATACATTTTACTTATACCTCTTCATCGTCCTTATCAAGTCTTGACTTAGGGTTTGGCTCTTTACACATCTGCTGTTTCCTAAAAGCTCTCAGAGAACAGGGTCCCTATCTGAGCCATATTTGTTTCCTCCAAAGAGCTCAACGTAGTATGCAGAGTGTAGGAGGAAAACAGGCTCAATAAATGAGTATGGAAAAGAAGAATAAAAATAAAAGCAGTATTTAACTCCTAGATATTATTAGTAGATCCAGTATTTCAGAGTTATATGGAAAAATCCATAGTTTTCATTTCAATTTCTGCAAGACTCTGAGCTGAACTATAAAATGCATGTGGTTATCTTAAGGATATAAAATTATTTCGTCTCCCAGGTTTTATGTTCAACTTTTATGAACCATGAAGCAGCTAGAAGTTCGAATGGACAACTGTGCCTTGCCACTTTTAACTGATCTGGACCTAGAGACCCAGTTTCTTTAACTCTTGATCCCCATTACTGTTCTGTCAGTGGAGGAAAGGGCCTGATTTCATACGGAGCACTCAGTCATTATAGTCTATTAAATCTTTTCTTTTTTTTAAGACAGAGTTTTGCTCTTTTCACCCAGGCTGGAGTGCAATGGCGCAATCTCAGCTCACTGCAACCTCTGCCTCCCGGGTTCAAGCAATTCTCCTGCCTCAGCCTCCTGTGTAGCTGGGATTACAGGCATCTGCCACTACACCTGGCTAATTTTGTATTTTTAGTAGAGACAGGGTTTCTCCATGTTGGTCAGGCTGGTCTCGAACTCCTGGCCTCAAGTGATCCACCCACCTTGGCCTCCCAAAGTGCTAGATTATAGGCGGGAGCCACCACACCTAGACAGTCTATTAAATCTTGAATTCAGACAGAGAACCCCTTGGCATAAGACTATAGATTTAAAAGATTATGCCAGACACAGTGGCTCATGCCTGTAATCCCAGCACGTTGGGAGGCTGAGGTAGGAGGATGACCTGAGCCCAGGAGGTTGAGGCCACAGTGTACTGAGATCACACCACTGCACTCCAGCCTGGGTGTCAGAGTGAGATCCTATCTCAAATAAATAAATAAAAGATTAAAATTTATCTCAGTTCTGGGCCTAGGTCTTAAATTTGTCACCTTCTCATTGAATTTGAGAAAGCAACACAAATATTGAAAGAATACTTGTTCACAATGAGAACACCTGGACACAGGAAGGGGAACATCACACACTGGGGCCTGTCGTGGGGTAGGGGGAGCTGGGAGGGATAGCATTAGGAGCTATACCTAATGTAAATGATGAGTTAATGGGTGCAGCACACGAACATGGCACATGTATACATATGTAACAAACCTGCACGTTGTGCATGTGTACCCTAGAACTTAAAGTATAACAAAAAAAAGAAAAAAAAAAAGAATACTTATTCACTTCCAAAATGGTTTCCTAGTAAGTCAGGCATCTTTATAGAAGTCAACATCCTAAAGCAATGTTCATTGTTGTGGTGGTGGTTTTTTTCTCTTTTTTAAAAACAAAATTATCTTATGTACTGTTAAATCTGGTCATTACTTAATTGCTCTTTAAAATAAAAATGCAAAGAAACAGAAAATGTGTTTCCCATTAGGAAAAAAAGTCATCATGCTGTGCTGGGTAAGAAAGAGGGCTCTGACCAGGCACCATGGCTCATACCTCTAATCCCAGCACTTTGGGAGGCCGAGGCGGGCGGATCACCTGAGGTCAGGAGTTCGAGACCAGCCTGGCCAACATGATAAAACCCCATCTCTACTAAAAATACAAAAATTAGCCAGGCGTGGTGGTGGGCGCCTGTAATCCCAGCCACTCGGGAGGCTGAGGCAGGAGAATTGCTTGAACCCAGGAGGCAAAGGTTGCAGTGAGCCGAGATTGTGCCACTGCACTCCAGCCTGGGCGACAAAGAGCAAAACTACGTCTCAAAAAAGAAAAGGAAAGAAAGAGGGCTCTGGATCCAGACAGCCTTTGCCCAACTCCTAGCTCAGCAACTAACTGTGTATTCTGACTTCTCTGTACCTCCATCTTCTCATCTGTAAAATGGGAGTAGCCATAATGTCCATCTCAGGAGAGTGAAGTATCTAAATGAATTAACATGCACAAAGATCGAGCCTGACACAGAATAAACAGTGCAACAAACATAGCTATTATATTTTATGTGTTATGTTGTGCTCAAATGCAAATCCACTAATACGTAATTTTTTCTAGGCTACCTGAGGGACAAAGATGTGTAAAGCATTGATTCTATGTAATCATAGAAAACGGTTTCTATTTTTCTTCAATAATGCACTAACGAAGAAACGTCTTTCTATGGTGAATTAGAAATAGATCTTCTCAAGATATCAAAATCTAATGGCAAATGTGCTGTTGATTTTTCCTCCTGGTAAAAGTTAGGCCCTTCTTCAAAGAAATAATTTCAAATTATTTCCACAGATGCGACGGCCACGCAGGACCTCCCGTGCCTGTGAGGGGAGCTGCTGTGGTAAGTAACCAGATAACTACCGGTTACCCTAAGAAATTCAGAATTTATGTCATCCCAGGGTGGCTACCTATTTAAGTAGTATTCCCTTCGGCTCAGTTTTAAATTTATTTTAGAAGCTTGGATTTCTCCTCAAGAGTTCAAATTTTCCGAATTATATTTGGCTTCCAGTTGACTTTGGTACTGGAATTCGCCAGGAAGGAGTGAGGCCATCATGTTTCCACTCACGCCATCAGTGGCATCTCTGATATTTTTCCACGTGTTGCTCCCGTACAGCCCTAAGGGGTTGGGCAGAGGAGGCGGCCAGAGGAGGAGCCACAGCCACGTTTGCCAGCCAGGATGGGTCTGGACCAGACCCTTTCTGAGTATGGTTATCATTTGTACTCAAAGAGGAAACCACTCATAGGTGAGATGCAGGAGCAAGTTTGCATGAGGGTTGACCCAGCGAGACGCTTCCTCAGAGGCTAAAATTTAAATTTGTCACCGTGTTCAGATGCTGATAAGATAAAGAAGCTTAAGAGTTCTGTTTCTGCTTTTTCATGGTCATAACTTTTGGTCTACACATGCCTGTGTCTTCCTGTGTAACTTGTATGGTTTGGAGCTAAAAGAAATGGAGAGTTTTGGAAGGCACCTTTAGGAAGGTTTTGAAAGTGTGCAGGAGGAAAGCAAATATATTTATCAGTGGATCAAAGCCTTAGTACTGGGACCTCCCTTTTTCTTTCTCTCTGTCTCTCTTTCTGCTCTCTCTCTGTCTCCCTCTCTCTTTGCAAAAAGCGTGAGGTAAAATTCTGGTGAGGAGGAGTGCATTAAACAGAGGTTTTTTTTTTTTTTTTTTTTTTTTTTTTTTTTTGGAGACAGTTTCTTACTCTGTCACCCAGACTGGAGTGCAGTGGTACAATCTTGGCTCACTGTAACCTCTACCTCCAGGGTTCAAGCAATTCCCCTGCCTTAGCCTCCCAATTAGCTGGGATTGCAGGGCCACACCACCATGCCCAGCTATATTTTTAGTAGAGACAGCGTTTCACCATATTGGCCAGGCTGGTCTTGAACTCCTGGCCTCAAATGATCCTCCTGCCTCAACCCCCCAAAGTGCTGGGATTACAGATGTGAGTCACTGTGCCCATCTGGAAACAGAGGTTCTTTACACTACTTCTTTCTGGATAACACTGATCCCTATTTTTCTCCTGTATGTGCCTCAGCCCTAACCATGACACCAGCATTAAAAATTGCTACACTCTAATGGAGAACTTGCTGTCCTCCAGGCACTTGACATAGATCATTTCATTTAATCCCCAGAGAAACTCTATAAAATAGGTACTATTATTCTCCCCCATTTAAAGATGAGGAAATTGAGGTTTAAAGAGTTAAAGATCACACTCCAGGTCACCCTGGTAATAGACTCAGGATTAGAAAGCCTGGGTTTCTGGAACTCCACAGCGGGAAGTCAGTAATGCCAGCAGCTCCTCAGCTCTGATGCCCTATTTGCACATGGACCCCAGTTGCTCCCCACCTGCAGAGACTCTGCTTTAACTGAGCAGTGGACTGAAGTGGCGTGACCCCCCCATCCAGCTCTGCCCTCTGAGAGGACAGAGCCCTGCCCCAGGATGCTTCTGTACAGGATGCTTCTGTACTCTCGGTTCTCCTAGGGCAAGTGTTCAGATTGACCATCCTCTGCCGTTTGAGAGCCATGGGGTCTGAAGCAGAAAAGGCATGTAAAAGGAAAGGCAAACGCCTGGAAGAAGTGGAGCTAATTTGAAGTTTTGGTGATTTGAAAATCCAGTCTAGGGATTAATAGACATCTTACTTTGACAGTCCTGATTCCCACTTGCACGTAACCATTTCACTGCTTGGAGCATGTCAATCTAAAAGGCAAGAGCTAGGCGAATAAGTGAAATGGAACCCAGTGATTGTTGCTCCCCATGAATAGCTATTACGAAAAGGAAGAGAGAGGCTGGGAAGAGTGGCTCATGCCTATAATCCCAACACTTCGGGAGGCCAGGGTGGGAGGACTGCTTGAAGCCAGGAGTTTGAGATCAGCTTGGGCAACATAGTGAGACCCTGTCTCTACAAAAAAAAAAAAAAAAGCTTTTAATTAGCTAGGTGTGGTGGCACACACTTGTAGTACCAGCTAATCAGGAAGCTGAGGTGGAAGGATCACTTGAGCCCAGGAGTTGGAGGCTGCAGTGAGCTACGGTTGCATCACTGTACTACAGCCTGGGCAACAGAGAGAGACCCTGTCTAAGGAAGAAAGAAAGAAGGAAAGAAGGAAAGAAGGAAAGAAGGAAAGAAAGAAAGAAAGAAAGAAAGAAAGAAAGAAAGAAAGAAAGAAAGAAAGAAAGAAAGAAAGAAAGAAAGAAAGAAAGAAAAGAGGGAGGGAGGGAGGGAAGGAAGGAAGGAGAGAGAGAAAATAATAAAAGGAAAAAATAATAAAAGTACTATCTCTAAATTTTTTAAGTACTATCTAAAATAAGGCTTCTGCATGACATGTAGATTTCTCTTACTTACTCAAGGAAGTTCTAGCCCCTCAACCCCACAGAGAGCCGGAAATTGACCACTGATGCCATAGTAATTCTCCCCAAGATGTGAGGTGATGAGCATCTCATCACTTGGTTGGCAGCCTGGCAGGAGTGGTACAAGGAGATTCCACCATTTCATGGGAAGTTGTACTATATTATTAGATGATCTTCCACTTAAAAAAGAAGCTGCTACTTAAACATTTGCATAAGCTTAAAAGAAGCAAAAGAAACACAGAAATTTCAGAAAACATAGAAATTTTAGAGCTAGAGAAACACTTAGGGATCATCTAGCCCAGGGTTTCTCTCAACCTCAGCACCACTGACATTTTGGACTCCTGTGTATTGCAGGATGTTTAGGAGCATGCCTGGGACACTTGACTACTCCTTATCCCTGAACAAACTCTGGCTACTGTCCAGTGATACTGCCAGCTCTGTACCCTTAGGAACACACCTCCAATGTGGCACTTCTTACACTGGGCTCTTTGTCCAGATTGGTGTGAGCTCCTCAGGCAGGGCCTGTGTATTAGTTTGAATTTATGCTGCTGATAAAGAGATATCCGAGACTGGGTAATTTAAAGAAAAAGGGGCTTAATGGACTCACAGTCCCATGTGGCTGGGGAGGCCTCACAATCATGGTGGAAGGTAAAAGTCACATGTTACATGGTGGCAGACAAGAGAGAATGAGAGCCAAGCTAAAGGGGAAGCCCCTTATAAAACCATCAGATCTCGTGAGACTTATTCACTACCACGAGAACAGTATGGGGGAAACCGCCCCCGTGATTCAGTCATCTCCCCCTGGGTCCCTCCCACAACACGTGGGAATTATAGGAGCTACAATTCAAGACGAGATTTGGTTGGTGACACAGCCAAACCATATCAGCCTGTGTATCCCCACTGCCTGGCGCAAACTGAGCACTCAGTAACTGAAGGAAGAAATGAATGAGTGGTTTTAAGCTGCAGCTACATTGGTGGATATGACCTGTGCAGGAAAACAGACATGGAACAAATTCAGGAACACCTTGAAAAATTAATTTGTTGATTTTACCAAGGCATTTGATAGTATCAGTGAGTTTAGGCTTCAGCTCTGACAGCTGTTCCACAGGTTTGGCTGCCCTAAGAAGTTCTCAGGTACTCTAAGGCTACTCTATGACAGAGGTTTGTTTGTCCAGTCAGGTCAGAATGGCAGACAATATCAGTAGAGTGAATTGGAGTTGTGTAAAAGGCCTCATTTTGTTCAGCCTATTTTATGTACCATGTAACTGAGATCCTGAAAGCCAGCATTTTGCAACTGGCCTCTCATCCTGTGGGATACTTTTCTACCTCATTTGGCTGCCAGCATCAACAGGAGTCCTCCAGGAAATTCTCTATAACCACAAAAGAATAGTAGCAGCAACAGTAAGGATTATTAAGTGCTAGACCTCGTTCTAAATGCATCACAGCTATTAATATTAATTCACCCAATTCTTACAGCAACCCTATGCAATGGGTATTGTTACTGTTGCTGTTATTTTCCTTTTACCAAGAAAGAAACGAAGGTACAATGGGATTAGATAACTTGCCCAAAGTCGTATAAATATTAATGGGCAGAGCCAGGACTGGAACCTATGTAGAGCTCATGTGCTTAACCACTATGCTGTCCTGCCTCCAACATGCTTTTCTGAAGCCTAATATTACAAATCTTCAGTGTCTCCATTTCTGTAATAATATATACTAGTCATCTTATATAATTAGTTTTCTTTATTTTTTGAGATGGAGTCTCACTCTGTCACTCAGGCTGGAGTGCAGTGGCACAATCTTAGCTTGCTGCAACATCTGCCCCCAGGGCTTAAGCGATCCTCCCACCTCAGCCTCCCAAGTAGCTGAGACCATAGACATGTGCCATCAAGCCTGCTAAGTTTTTGTATTTTTGGTAGAGACAGGGTTTCACCATGTTGCCCAGGATGGTCTTGAACTCTGGAGCTCAAGCGATCTGCCCGCCTTGGCCTCCCAAAATGCTGAGATTACAGGCGTGAGCCACCACACCCAGCCTTATATAGTTAGTTTTCTACCTTGGTATATCATAAATCAGTTCATAACTATGTGCAAAGTATCATGCCATATACAATGAAAGGCATGGAATGTCTCAGACAAGGTTCCTTTCTTCAGAGAGTTTACCATCTAACTGAAGATATATACATTAGTGAAATAACAGCAAAAAAAAAAAAAAATGGAAAGAAGAGGCCTTGGGATCAGATCATATGAGTATGAGTAGCCAGTGCCACCATATAGATTATTAATGTGACTTCAGTAAGGCACTTACATGAGATACAGTTTCCTCATCTGAAAAAATGGGAATGATAATTCCTAGTTAATTCACAAATTTGTTATAAGGATTCAGTGAGAGAGGATAGTTTTAAGTATATTAAAAATAAATGAGTAATTTTGTTCAAATACAAGAAAGTTGGAGGCTGGGCTTGGTGGCTCATGCCTGTAATCCCAGCACTTTAGGATGCCAAGGTGAGAGAGGGTTGCTTGAGCCCAGGAATTTGAGACCAGCCTGGGCAACATAGCAACCCCATTTCTACAAAAAATTAAAAAATTAGTCAGGCGTGGTGGCACACATGTGTAGCCCCAGCTACTCAAGAGGCTGAAGTGGGAGGATTGCTTGAGCGGGGAGTTCGGGGTTACAGTGAGCTGTGATTGCACCACTGCACTCCACCCTGGGAGATGGAGCAAGTCCCTGTCTAAAAAAAAAAAAAAAAAAAAAAAAAAAATTGGAAAGGATTTTGACACAGTTGTGCTACAAAGAGGTGTTTGAACCTCCTCATCTTCTAGGCCAGGGATGGGAAATAGGCTTCACCTTTTATGACAACTCCAAAGCGTGGAGCATTATTTTGAGGGGGCTTCTAAGTCCAAAACTGAGCCCTGAGGAGGATCAGTCAGTGTCTGCTCTGGGCCCTGGAGAGATGTACTTCTCTTCTAGGTCATAAGAAACTTCAGGAGCCTCCCAGCAGCTCTATGGTCTGTGTTTGGCTTCAGAGAATGCGAGAATGCCTGCTACAGGGATGTAATGCACTAATAAGCTGCAAAACTTGATCATGAGTAGAATGATGCAAAACTTGATCATGAGTAGAATGAGGTATTTCAGCATTGGCTCTGGAATCTGACAGACTGGAAATGAACCTCCTCCCCCCACCAGTGTGACCAAAGGCAAATGACCTGACCTCTTGAAACCTCAATTTTCTCAAAGTAGGGATAATAAGAATACCAACTCCACAGGGTAGTTAAAACTAAATGAACTGAAGTAACTCACATAAAGCCCTTAACACATTGCCTAGAATAATCAATGTTCAGTTGCTGCTGCTAACAACACATAGCTTAAATAAAAATTAGGAGTCTATAGGGTAGTGATAGTTTTCAATCTTTATGTCTGATACCTACTATTGACTAACAGTTCCTTTTGGTTTTTTTTAATCACTAACGTCACCCTTGCAGAGTTACAGTTGAGTGTAAATGAAACCTCAGTATTTTCTCTTGTTAGCTGTATAATTTACATCTCTGTGTGTTGAAAGCATCCTGAACATGTTGTTTGAGTAGGGTAGGTCTTGAAGTAGAGGGTCTGGGCGAAATAAAACCAGAGGAAATTACACTCAGGGTCTCTAGAAGGTAGTAATTCTTCCCAACCTAGAGAGGGTCATCTCTTCACATGACCCCTCAGTTCATGTACTTTTCATTTCACTGTAAATTATCATTACAAAGGCATGTGATCCTGGGGGCCACAAGGAATGTACTGGTCTACATACACAGAGAAAAGATTGTTTGGGTGTTAAATGGTCGAGAATGCCTGCTGTTCTCGTAATCAGATATATCTACTTTGCACCAACTACCAAAACTGAAGATTTGAGAAGAATGGATTTATAAGATCTGTAATGAATTGTTATATCACTAACAACAATTAGTGATGTAGGGTAACCTCTGAGTTGGACAGACAAAAGGGAACAATTTGATGTAGGGTAAAAAGAATTAACTTTAACTGATCTGATTTCTCAAATGATTAGTTTGAGGTTTTATTACCTCCAATCAGTATCCCATTATAATTGTGTTTTGCTTTTAACATTTGTTTACTTCCGAATTTTATGTAAGTATGCTAAATCATATTCAGTGACCAATAAGTTATCATGGGAGCACTCCTTTCTTATTAATAAATCTCCTTTGTGAGTGGTCAACCGTGGCTTGCTCATAGAACTGAAAACCATAGGTCAATGAAATTTGGGCAGGTTTCTGTAGGAAATAACTGACCTAGACCTTGAGAAAGAAAACAAGCAGGAGTGAAAACACAAGGTCCTGAGAAATGTAGGGGTTAAGAGAACCGGCACCGTGGAATCGGACAGACCTGTTATGGAGAAATTAAGAAGTTGGAGCTTTGGAAAGGATGGGCATGTGGTCTTAGGCTTGAAAGATGAGATGAAATGATGAAATGTAGTGGTGAAGGTCAAATAGAAAGGGAAATTTTGAGGTGGGGGAGAGGGATTCAAGAGGCAAGGACTGGGTAGCAGAGTGAGCTGAAAATAAAGACTGTAAAGGGAAGTGGGTGAGTGTAGGATGAGTTAAAGTGCAGTCATGAGTGACAGAGCCAGTTTGACAAAGGAAATGCAAATGGAGTTTTGGCACAAGAAAGTGAAGGCTTGGGAGTGGATAATGTTTGCAAGGTTCTGAAGACAAAAGCTTGAAAGTAGGGCAGTGATTAGATTTTATGAAATTAAGATGAACATTTGTTAGTAAAAATAATAATAATAATAATAATAGCTGGGCGAGGTGGCTTACGCCTGTAATCCCAGCACTTTGCAGGGCTGAGGCAGGAGGATTGCCTGAGGTCAGGAGTTCAAGACCAGTCTGGCCAATATGGTGAAACCCCATCTCCACTAAAAATACAAAAAAATTAGCCAGGTGTAGTGGCAGGCGCCTGCAATCCAGCTACTCGGGAGGCTGAGGCAGGGGAATTGCTTGAACCAGGGAGGTGGAGGTTGCAGTGAGCCGAGGTTGCACCACTGCACTCCAGCCTGGGCGACAGAGCTAGACTCCACCTCGAAAAAAATAAATAAAATAAAAAAAAATAATAAAGGAAAACAAATTTAGTTCTATATCATTCTCCTAAATCCTTTCATTGAAAACTAGCAATAGGTTTTTTTTTAAGCCATTTATTATTTATACAGTCATACCCTTGAGTGCCTTCGTTTCAGAACTACCAAATCAGCTCCTTATGGCCGTCTGAGGGATTCTACCATTCTAGATAGGCAGTCCACAACCTTTTTGGCACCAGGGACCCACTTCATGGAAAACAACTTTTCCACGGAAAGGGCTGGTAGATGGTTTGGGAATGAAACTTCCACCTCTGATCATCAGGCATTAGATTCTCATAAGGAGAGCACAACCTACATCCTTCGTATGCGCAGTTCATAGTAGGGTTCGCCCTCCTGTGAGAATCTAAGGCCTAATCCCGGGGCTAAGCTGACTGGAAGCGGAGCTCAGGAGGTAATGCTCGCCCCTTACCCCACACTGTGCAGCCTGATTCCTAACAGGCCACAGATCAGTACCAGTCTGCGGCCCAGGGGTCAGGGACCTCTATTCTAGATGACCTCTAATGGAAACACATTTTTCCCCCTAAATCCTCAGGTTCACAATTTATTTTTATTTTTTATTTATTTTATTTTATTTCATATATTTTTTTGAGACAGAGTCTCCCTCTGTCTCTCAGCTTGGAGTACAGTGGTGTCATCTTAGCTCACTACAACCTCCACCTGCCCGGTTCAAGCGATTCTCCTGCCTCAGCCTCCCAGGTAGCTGGGATTACAGGCATCTGCCACCACGTCCAGCTAATTTTTGTATTTTTGTTTTCTTGTGGGGTTTTTTTTTTATTTTTTTTTTTGAGATGGAGTCTTGCTCTGTTGCCCAGGCTGGTGTGCAGTGGCGTGATTTTAGCTCACTACAACTTCCGCCTTCCAAGTTCAAGTGATTCTCCTGGCCCAGCTTCCGGAGTAGCTGGGATTATAGGCACTGGCCACCACATCCAGCTAATTTTTGTATTTTTAGTAGAGACAGGGGTTTCACCATGTTGGCCAGGCTGGTTTCGAACTCCTGGCCTCAAGTGATCTGCCCACCTTGGCCTCTCAAAGTGCTGGGATTACAGGCATGAGCCACCGCACGCGGCCAAGTTCACAAATCTTAAGGTCCACCAAGAGTTCTAGCTAACAGAGTCTTGAAAAAAACGTACATCGTTAGGAAATCCAAAATCCAAGCCATTGGAGCCATGGAGACAGCACTCCAGACTCGAGAGGGGTCAATTTCTTTCCTCTCTGCAAGGAACCCCCACTAAGATCTATGTAATGCTGTTACCGCACCCCACCACTTACCCAAAGTTAGCCTTTGGTTGGAAGGTTTCCTTAGTATTGTTCCTTCCGTGGTGGCCAGGAAGATGTTACCAGAAAAAGGTCTGGATCTAGAACCCCAAGAGAGGGTTCTTGGATCTCGCACAAGAAGGAATTCAGGGCGAGTCTGTAAAGTGAAAGCAAGTTTATTAAGAAAGTAAAGGAATAAAAGAATGGCTATCTCATAGACAGAGCAGCCCCGAGGGCTGCTGGTTGCCCATTTTTATGATTATTTCTTGATGATATTATGCTAAACAAGGGGTGGCTTATTCATTCCTCCCCTTTTTAGCCCATATAGGGTAACTTCCTGACATTGCCATGCCATTTGAAACTGTCATGGCGCTGGCGGGAGTGTAGCAGTGAGGACAACAGGAGAGGTCCCTCTTGTTGCCATCTTGGTATTTGGTGGGTTTTAGCCGGCTTCTTTAGTGCAACCTGTTTTATCAGCAAGATCTTTATGACCTGTACCTTGTGCCAACCTCCAGTCTCATCCTGTGACTTAGAATGCCTTAACCGGCTGGGAATGCAGCCCAGTAGGTCTCAGCCTTATTTTACCCAGCCCCTATTCGAAATGGAGTTGCCCTGATTCAAACACCTCTGACAGTGCTGTGTCAAGTTTGTAGGAAACTTTGGCAGAGAGAGGCCCAGTACCTTGCCTGAAGTCTCATCATTGAAAGAATTAATGTAGGTATAGAGAAGTTGCAGGTCAGTTACAAATGGCAAAAACAACACATTGTAAATTGAGAAATAAATATTAGAAAAATGGATTTGTAGTCCTTAGACTAATATTTTTAAGCTTGGGACAGTTTTGTGGGAGCGTGTGAGTATTTTGACTGGTGAAGGCTCAGAAATAATATTGTGTTCTCTACTTTAAAATTAGCAGACAAAAATATACAGTTCACCTCTGGAAAATCAACTAGTTGACAGTGCATTTGTCCCAAAGCCAGCAGTCATGAGGGAGGAGAGTGGCATGCCTCCGCCGTGGGATGCTTCACTGCTGGAGAATGAGTTTTTCCAAGGTAAGTTCATGCATTAAATTGCCTTTGCAACTACTGGTACTAAAGGAAGTAAACAATAACTATAGTTTGTATTAAACTACTCAAAACATATCAAACGCTGTACTTTAATTTTTATGTCCTCCTGTTTAGCTTATTTGAAGAGGATGCTGACATGTTATTAACACAAGTGTTAAGAACTTATGATTAAATATAATCTGAGCAAATATTCTCAAATCAAGGACTGATAAATATATGGAATAGTAATAATGTTTAATATTTAACCACAGGGGTCAGGAGTTCGAGACCCCATCTCTACTGAAAATAATACAAAAATTAGCTAGGCATGGTGGCATGCACCTGTAATCTCAGCTACTCGGGAGGCTGAGGCAGGAGAATTGCTTGAACATGGGAGGCAGAAGTTGCAGTGAACTGAGATCGTGCCACTGCATTCCAGCCTGGGTGAGAGAGCAAAACTCCATCTTGGAAAAAAAAAAATTAACCTCAGGTAAAAAGGAAATATGTCTTTAGGAAATACATCTACAAAGTTTGCTGTTTAATAGACTTTTATTGTTCCAGATTAGGACCGAAATACACTGTGATAAAATCTAATTCATTAGACAATTAACCTTGTATGATGATAAAAACTGAAACAGGTTCCAAAAGCAGTGGCATTCCAAATGCACGTGTACCTTATCACTATCTGATCATAGTTCACTTTTACAAAGGTTATTCTGTATAAGCCTAACCATTTGAAAAGTTAACTCTGAACTCGCCACCAGCTTCACCTTGAGGAACTACATTTAGTTTGCAAAGGCAGTACCATCGCCTGGCCCCTATCGTGTGGTACAGCAGTCGGGAAGACAGTCAGCTGGACAGTCAACATAGGGGCTTTCTTCAGTCAGATGCATCCTGGCAGAGAACAGAGGAAAATCTTTGTTCCAAAAGAAGGTTTTTTTGGAAGAGGAGAGCTTCTGTTTATGGAATGAAAAAAGTAATAATAATGTGGCCTTTCTGAAAATAATGTAGAGAAGCAGAACAGGAATTGTTCTGATGTCAGGAGTGGTGAGTAAATAGCATTGTTAATCTGGGATTCTAAGTGGCTTTAATTTAAAATCCTGTCATGGGAATGTTAAGAGTGGTTACCTCTAGGTAGAATTCCTGGTGATTTACCTATATTGTTATACTTTTCTGTATTTTCTGTTGTAAATACATTCTGCTCTTGTAGTCAGCCAAGACTTTAAGGGGAAAGAAAAACATAAACAGCTTGAAAGGGAGAATGGACATCAAAGAGATTTTCATTATAATTTGTTTTAAAGATAGATTTTTATTCATTATGCAGTTTTGTTTTGTTTTGTTTTGTTTTGTTTTGTTTGCCCCACCTTATACCTCAGCATTGCTTATTTTATTGTGGCTATAGGGAACAAATTATTTCAGGTCCTAGGGAAAAATAAATATTTTTCACTAAAACATTGACAGATTTATTCCCTAAAGAATTCCTTAATTACATAACCTTAACGTTCAAGATCAGTTTTTCTTTTGGTTGTACAAACTTAATAACACCAACTTGCAAATAAAATAGGATAGGGAAAAATCCAGAACAGATTTTTTTAAATCCCTTTGGCATCTGCCCTAACATAATTGGCATGTTGTATGTACATTTCACCTATGTGTTCTCAGACACTTACATTTCCTGTCATTATACAGTTGAAATAAAATTTGTAATTTCTTCATATTTATTGAACATGAATATACTAAACTATAGCTATTATAGAGTAGGTCTTAGAGAGTCTACAAACCTCAAAAGATTATGATTCTATTCAAAGTCTAATGGGTTTTTATTGAGGAAAACATGTCAAGTACAATTAAATTGATACAATTCAAAGAAAAGCCAACTGTGTCACCAAAAGGTAACACAGGCTTGTCTGAGATCACAGAGGCTGTGGTCCTAGAGAGCAAGAGCCCTGGGTCTGGGCTTGGTCTAGGTCTTCAGTTATCATAAGGAGGCCCCTGGGCACTGACTTTGACATCACCCCCAACTTTGCTCCTGAGAGAAAAGTAATCATTATTTGACAACAGCAGCTTCACGTCTTTGTAAAACTATGAGCTCATCTCACAGTAAAATCATCTGTATGGTTCATAAAGAGCAAAATATGAAAAGTGAGGGTTTTTTTTTTTTTTTTTTTTTTTTGAGACAGAGTCTCGCTCTGTCGCCCAGGCTAGAGTGCAGTGGCACCATCTCGGTTCACTGCAAGCTCTGCCTCCCAGGTTCACACCATTCTCCTGCCTCAGCAGGAGAATTCTCAGCCTCCCAAGTAGCTGGGACTACAGGCGCCTGCCACCACACCCGGCTAATTTTTTGTATTTTTAGTAGAGACGGGGTTTCACCGTGTTAGCCAGGATGGTCTCGATCTCCTGACCTCGTGATCTGCCCGCTTTGGCCTCCCAAAGGGCTGGGATTACAGGCGTCAGCCACTGTGCCCGGCTAAAAAGTGAGCTTTTATGGCACAGAGGTTGCATTGCACAGTGGTCGTATGCATGGACACAGAGGTTGCATTGCACAGTGGTCTTATGCATGGACTCAGGAAACAGACGGTCTGGGTTCAAATCCCAGCGCTGTGTGATCTTAAGAATTTGCTTAATCTCTTCTTGCTTCCGTTTCCTCATTATAGAATAATAATAGTAATAGGACCAACCTTCTAAGGTGGTGTGAGGATTTAATGAGTTAATATATTAAGTGTTTAGGACTCTACCTGACACGCAGAAAGTGCTGTTTTATAGGAGTGTTAACAGGTATTAATTTTTCCAGAAAAAAAAAATCTACCATTGGTATATCATTTAATAATATTATCTGGCACTTTTAATTATATATATTGCTCGAATCCCCCATCCACCTAAGTATGTTCATAAATTAGGTGCTAAGCTTTTGGTGGTAATACTGTTTTACAGTACAACCTAGAAATCATATGCTACTTACAGAGGCTCATTTCTATTATGATCCCAGGAGGTATACACAGCTGGAAATATTGTAGCAACCTAGTGACATGAAAGAAATGAAAAGACAAGGCTTAACAACACTAACAATTGTCTAGTTATTCAATGTCTGCATTATTAGTTCCCTTTTATTACTAGCCCATATCTTAGAAAAACTCAGTACGCTTTAGATGCACTAAAAAAAACCATGATTAAAATTCATTGTTACAAGAATATAGTTCTATTTCCTTAGGGCGTTATGGTAAGTTCACTTTGAAAAAAAGTGATTTGAAAAAACAGGAAATAAATTTTCACTATAGTCTTGTAAAAGTCAGACTATCTTAAAAATATAATCAAAATTCATGTTATAACATTTATGATAATATGATAAAAAATAAAATTATAAATGATTATGTTTCTTGAAAAGGAGCCTTCAATAACTCAAATTATTATTACACTGTAAAAACATATACAAAAAAGTTAATTCACATTCTCTTTTCAGTTTTAGATGACTTGGATAGCAAATTGGCTCAGGAACAGTCTGCAAGCTCAGTGAATACCAGAACACCCCTCAACTATGGATCAAGGACACAGTTCAGTCACTTTTATTCCAGTGGTAGCAGACATGGTAATATCACAGAAAGGCACAAAAAACACTATAATGAAACTTCCAATATGTCTATCTATGACATCCTAAGACCAGGAACTCCTAGGGAAGGTTATAAAACCTTTTCTCCTAGGACAAGGACAATTTATGATATGTACAGGACAAGGGAGCCCAGAGTCTTTAAAGAAGATTATGTGCAAAAGAATACTTTTGGAAGTACTTCGCTGTGTTTTGACAGCAGACAACGGTCGGCCTTACCAGCCACAGGGCATTTCACAGCAAGAAGCTTACATTTTCCAGCCACAGCTCAGAACAAGAGTGGGTTTATACCACCAAGGCACCAGCAGAGTCCAAAGAGAACTCCTTTATCATCCATCATATGGAACAGATCGGATTCCTCTAGAGATAGGGAGAACCAGGAAGAGTTCCTGAGGGCACCATCACCAATGGAAATTGATCCTGCTGACAAGTATGTGTATCCCAGGGGTTTTCAGGAGAATAGGAGATATGAATCGTACCATTCACAGAATGTTTACCAACGTGTTAGTTTAAATGTTCCCATGGAGAATGCAATGAGTCCTGACACTTTTGAGAACTCAGAGAATATGCCATTCTACCATCAAAGCAACCCATTTGCCAGGTCTTTCTTCAGCAATACCTTTGGACGAAGCGGAGAACAGAGGAGGTTTGGACAAAGTCCTTTTTGGAGCCAACAGAAAGGACATTCTTTCTGGTCTGACTTTCATCAAAGCAGGCAATCATTCAGTTCTTCTGACAGAGACTTTGAAATGATTTCCATGGAAGCAAATAGTGCATCAGCCATTCATGGCCATAGTGTTTCTTCTGAACACTGGGAATCATTTTCTTCTGGTTATGGAACAGATGTTTCCAGAGTCCCAGAAGAGCCACATCCCTGGCAGTTTGATTTTCAGACATCCACACTGGAGAGCATGGCGGTATCACATGGTAATGAGACCAAATTGACTTCTCATTTTGGCACACCAAATGTTTGCTCCATGACTGGTTCAAGCTATCACGTCAAATCCGGTGAGTTGGTAAGCCAACAGGACAGTTCTCCCGTAGAAGTACATATAAACAAAGAAGCTTCCTCATTTGGAATTGCTCAGCCTCTAGCATCCTCATTCAAAACTTCCTTTCCCCAGACTTCTGATGACAGAAGGAATCCTCAGAGTCCCAACTTGCAGAATCCCACAGTCACTTTGCAGAAAATTATTCCTAATAAGCCTGCCTCTCATCCAATGAGAAGCCATACAGAAGTCACTGTGACCAACAGCAATTCAATTGACTCTCTGCCTCTTGCCAAAAGCCAGCCCATTATCTTGGTCACAGAAGTGAATAATGAGAAAGACTTAAATGAATCTATTTCAGAAGAAGATAAACAGCTAAGCAAGATGGACCAGACAAACAAGGTAGGTGAAGTACCCCAACCTGTTTCACAGAGAGGGATCTTAAACTCTTTACCTGATTTTCAAAATCCTTTCTCCCAGGACTCAGCCAAGAGCAACAGATTTGGTTTTAGTGCATCTACCACAATAAGTTCAAAAAAGTCACCCAGAGTCTTTTCCAGGAAAGATACCTCCAAAATGTATACACCACACAAAGATAAATCCAATGACATTAAACAAGATAAGAGGTTTACTGAGAACAGAAAACTTGGCTCAACGGCTTCCCTTCCTTTCATTCAGGAACACAGAACACCACCATCTTTCCCCAGGACAGACCAAGGTTGTCACCAGGAATTAACTGTAAGTAATGAAGATATTTCAAGCATTATTACAACCAACCACTGGAGCTCTGCACCAACTGATATTCAAAATGCACAGTCTCCAGAAAAGCCTGTTATTTTAGATACTGAGGGAGAACAATGTGCCACAATTCATTCTACCAACTGCGGCAAGTTGACTGCTGGCCACAAGACCTTGTGTGATTCTTTAGATCTGTCATCAGCTGCACTACCAGATTCCTCACCATCAAATAATTCTTCCCTTGATGCTCCTGTGGTTCCATCTACTACAGTGTTCTCCAGGAGAAGTCCTTCAGACAAAGATCCATCGCTAGGAGAAAGAGAAGAAAAAGACAATGCTGGGAAGAACCAAAAGAATCAGTTTATTTTAAGTCACTCAGAAAACCAAGAGAGAAATGATAGTCATGTGCCTACACATGATGAAGTGGTTGATGTCAAATGCCATTCACACTCTCCTTTTAGGAATGAAAGAGGAAAAGGAAAAATAAGGCATCATATATCCTGTATTGAAAAGTTAAGCAAAACAGAAAGTATATCAGTACCCACCAGTGATCACAGGAGCCTCATTGAAGCAAATCAAAGCAATTCCAAAGTTTCTGAGCTTGACACAATTTATTGTACCTTGCCAAGAAAATCAAACAGTTTTCTCGTACATGGCAGGCAGTCAGGAAGTAAAATAATGGCTGCTTCACTGAGGAATGGGCCACCTCCCTTCCAAATCAAAAATAATGTGGAAGATGCAATGGGGAACCATACATTAAACAAATTTAGTCCCAGTTCTCCTGAGTCAGCGAATGAATGTTCCAAAGTCATTTCAGACGCAGCCCTGGAAGCACCTGAAGCCACAGAGAGAATGACAAATGTAAAAAGCAGTGGCTCTACTTCCATTAGAAAAGGACCCCTTCCATTCCTCATTAACAGGGCTACGTCGTCTCCCTCAGGGGAGCCACATGCCTCAACTGGAAGAGAAGAAAGAAAAAAGCCATTGACCTCAGGCACGGATGCTTCTGAGCTAATGCCAAGGGCTTGGGAGAGAATCATTAGCCCTGTGGAAAGTGACTCATCTGTTAGAGATTGTTCTTTAACCAAACAACACCACCGAAAGGAAAACTCCCAAGAATGCACTGAGAAAGAGGGTAAAATGGCTGCCTCCAGGAGAAGTGTACTTGCCCTTTCAAATGAAGACCCTTTACCTTTTTGTTCAGACTTGTCAGGAAAAGAACGTGGGAAAACATTACATAAAGTTAAGACAACTAGTACATTTTCTGTTTCTGGTGATGACGACAATGTAAAATGTCTGGAAGTGGTCTCAATATATTATACTCTACCAAGGAAACCCAGCAAAAAATTCTGTAACCTCCTTCAACAGTATGCACAAAATACTAATTCACTTACAGAATCACCTCAAGTGGAGACTGAAACATTTCCTAATGCTTTAGAAAAAGACGAACAGAATTATTTTACACGAGAGCAGTCAGGAACACCGTCATGTGAAAATCTAAAGATGTCAGTCAACTCTGATCAGACGCTCACCTCTGAAAATATGACTGCCTTCCGATTATCAAATAGGGGGCCCCTAGTGCCTACATTACAGGAAATGGCTTCTGTTGAGGCAGCTGTTTCTCTTCCTGAAGAGGAATCTAAAGCTAGAGAGATTTTTTCAGATAATTTAGCTAAAGCACCTCTAGGTGATTCAGAAAACAAGAAAGAAAAAGGTAAAAAACTGCAAAGTGAAACCCTGCATACTTTATTGATGCCTCAGAGAAAAAATGTTTCCGAAGAAAAATCTGAAAATTGTCAACAATCCATTAATTCAAGTAACAGTGGTCCCTCTAGTCTTCCAGCTCTTTCAGAAGTTAATATTGGAAATTCCCAAGCCAGAAGAAATTCTTGGGAGTGTACAGGGAGTGGTAGAGCCATTCCTTTTACTGGAAGTGGGAAGTGTCCTCAGAAAGATCACACATCCACAACTGTAGGTGATGGCTCCAGTGGATCACAGCCTAGGGAAGGCAGAGGGGACATCGGAACCAACTGCCAAAAAATGACTAATAAAACACTTTCTCACTCAGAGAGTCAAGTCTTTGCTCTTACTCCAGCATTGCATAAACTACAGCTTGGTGAGGAGACTCAGTCAGATGAACTAAATTTAGAGAGTCTGCAGTCTGAACCCAGAGAATTACCTCGAAGAAGTCAGGAGGCAAATATGACAGAGAGCAGGAAGGCTGAAGATGAAATGCAGAAATCAGCTTGGGATCAACCTTCACTTCCTGAAGGAAACAATAAAAATAAAACCAACTCTGATGACCTAGTAAAGGGGGAAAATAGATCTTCAGTTAAACACAGATTGGCAGTCATGTCTAAAGCAAACAGAAAATTCCCAGCTAAAGATGTAAGCCCCAGAAGACATGTAGCTACTATCTTCCCCCAAAGTGGAAGCAGATCTGGCTTTGACCATTTATCTCTTGGCACAGTGGAGTGCAACCCACTGTTCCCTGAGCCTACTCCAAAATCTGCAGAGTCCATAGGCGAAAGCAGGTTGAGTGAGGATGGAAAGCATGTGAAGAAATCTGAGAACCCTATCCCCATTACTGTACTACCCAACAGAGAACCCTCTACACACATCAGCAACCAGAAGTCTAACAGCATTTCACAACGACATCAGAACGAGTTTAAAAATGTCTCAGAATCACCATCAAAGCATGAGATTTCTAAAGATGTCACAGTAGCTGAGAATTTAGAAAGAGAATCAGGAGCCCCATCCCCCATCACATTCACCAGCCTCAGGGAAGCAGAATTCTCTGACGATCAGAGGAGGCTGAGCCCTCCTTTTCCACTGGAGCCTGCACAGAAATCTAGAGTAAGCATCCCACTGGCCAGTTTGCGGCGGCAACAAAGGAGTGCTTCATCTCTGGAGTGGGAACCTGAGCCACACCTCTATCGTTCAAAGAGTTTAAAAAACATTAATGTGCATGGCGATCTACTACGAAAAAGTCATCCTCCAAAAGTCAGAGAGCGCCATTTTTCTGAAAGCACGTCTATTGACAATGCCCTGAGTCGACTGACACTTGGAAATGAATTCTCTGTCAACAATGGGTACAGTCGAAGATTCAGATCTTTTTCTGAACTCCCCTCCTACGATGGAAATGAAAGTTGGGCTTATCGCAGCGGTACAAAAACAGGTCCCAGGTCTGCAACATCTATATACAGACCTATCGACTATGGGATCTTTGGGAAAGAACAACAATTAGCTTTCTTAGAGAATGTAAAGAGGTCACTTACACAAGGAAGATTATGGAAACCAAGTTTTCTTAAGAACCCTGGCTTCCTAAAAGATGATTTGAGGAACCCTCCCAACCCCTCAGAGTCGTCAAGCTCAAATTCTCCCAGTAGTCAGATGCCAGAAGATGGCTTATCTCCAAGTGAACCGCTTAATATCTATGAGGATGACCCAGTGGACTCAGATTGTGACACAGACACAACCACAGATGATGAATACTACCTGGATGAAAATGACAAAGAGTCAGAACTGTGAGGCTTTTTCATTAAAATGCTTTACCTTTTTCACCAAAAGCTTATAATGGAACTGAGGTGTATGTGTGCATGTACATGGGAGGATAAAAGATCTAGTCTGGGCAGTGTCTGCTCTGAAATGTCCCACATCTCCTTTTTTTCCTCCACACCCTATATAGATACTTCCTGAATGTTAGAACAATGAATTCTTGTTTTGGGATAGTCTCTGCTATTTTCTCTCTCTGTAAATGTTCTTAGCCTGCCTTTCTACCACTCCCACTTAATCCCTAATTCACTGTCTGATTTGGGCTTTCTACTTTACTTCCCTCCTAACATTTTTCATCTTTAATTGTGATTTACAACCCTAATATCCCAGGCACACATACAAAACTTACTAATTACCCCGCAGAACTGTGAAACTCTGTATGGCTTCTTCCAGTCCACACCCTATACTCATGACATTAAATAAAAGGTAGGGATGATAACAGTGGGGTAAATATTATCATCCTGTTTGACTCATGAACATTTATGAAGTTTAAGGTGATGATCTTCTCTTTCAAACAAAGATAAAGGAATTTTTTTTTTAACCTGAGAAACTGCAAAAAGGAAAAAAAAAAAAAAGATAAAAGAATTTTCCAAATACATCCTGTTATATCCGTAGTGGAGCCTGGGAGGCACATGGTCAAAGCATATGTTGAGGTTATAGATGAAGATCTGAATCCCTACCCTAGTAAGCCAATAGAAGGTTAGCACTTCTAGAAATTCCTCTGAAACTGTGGGGCACTGGCTGGATTATTAAGGGCTTTTAGTCAAGCCAAGGACTTAGGCCAGGCAACCTGGCCATACAGAGAGTTGCCTGGTCACAGAATTTCTGCATATGAAGAGAACATAGCTGAGGAGCAGAGAAAGGAAACAGGCATCCCTTCATGGGACCGACTTGTCTTTACTGCAGCTCTCTCAGCAACTGGCTTTTTCCATTTCCTCAGAACTATCCATTTTCACATTTTCTTTTGTTGCTGTTCTTGTTTTGTTTTGTTTTGTTTTTGTTTTTGTTTTTTGGAGATGGAGACTTGCTCTGTTACCCAGGCTGGAGTGCAGTGGCATGATCTCGGCTCACTGCAACCTCCGCCTCCTGGGTTCAAGCGATTCTCCTGCCTCAGCCTCCTGGGTAGCTGGAATCACAGGCACACCCAGGCGCATGCCACCACGCCCAGCTAATATTTTTGTATTTTAGTAGAGATGGGGTTTCACCGTGTTGCCCAGGCTGGTCTCGAACTCCTGAGCTCAGGCAATCTGCCTGCCTCAGCCTCCCAAAGTGCTAGGATTAGAGATGTGAACCACCATGCCCAGGTTTGGTTTTTTTGTTTGTTTGTTTATTTTTTGAGATGGAATCTTGTTCTTGTTGCTCAGGCTAGAGTGCAATGGTATGATCTCAGCTCACTGCAACCTCCTCCTCCCAAGTTCAAGCAATTATCCTGCTTCAGCCTCCTGAGTAGCTGGGACTACAGGCACCTGCCACCACACCTGGCTAATTTTTTTTTTTTTTGGTATTTTTAGTAGAGATGGAGTTTCACCGTGTTGACCAGGCTGGTCTCAAATCCTGACCTCGGGTGATCTGCCCACCTCGGCCTCCCAGAGTGCTGGGATTATGGCCATGAGCCACCGTGCCTGGCCCACATTTTCTTTAATTGCAAGGTAGACCACTTCTTTTCAGGTGGGACATTTTAGTCCCAAATATCAAGTGGAAACCTTGGCCAAGTCCCTCAAATGCCATCAAGTCAGATCTGATACCCTGGAATTCAGTCTTCACTGCAGGATCATTTACCAAACCCTTGGGAAATTCTAAGGCAGGGCTCCTAAGGGCCTGTCACTATGATTCTCTCAATAATTTATCTAGAGTAAACCACTTATGATACCCACTGATATTTTGACTTTCCTAACTCTTTAGTTGCCACGCAGAACCTTGGGGAATTTTTCTTCTAATTCAGGATAAAAACCAATAGATGGCAGTGAAGATAATCTGCTTTAACTACAGAGAGCATGCATTCCTGGATCTCAGTACTATGATAGTCAACATGAATGGATTTTATCTTGTTTGGTTTATATTTGCTTCGTGACCTAATCTAATTTTCCATTTTTTATACCTAGTCCGTTTCTTCGTTATAAACTAAGAATAATGATAGGTGTTGGTGAAGTGTATAGAGATCTGGAACTGATAGAGATTTAAGAAAGAACTATATTATTATTATCCTTCTAACCATTCCCTTACCTAGACACAAAATGCCTGGGTTAGTTTACATGGTTCCCATGCAACTCAAAGCTAATGAGCATGAGGTAACTGACATGAAAGCTATTCCCTAAATCTGTCAACTATTTTAAACTTCAAGGTCTGACCAATCCTGAGCTCAAAAAGCTCAAAAATCAAATATTGTGAACTTTTCAATGCAAATTTGTATGGCAAAGAATAAATAACACTTTATTTCTTGTTTAATATATGTTTGTAAATTCTGCCTTTCCTCTTTTTCTATTTATCTGATTATTATTATTATTATTATTTTCTTTGAAATGGAGTCTCATTCTGTCACACAGGCTGGGGTGCAATGGTACGATCTCGGCTCACTGCAACCTCCACCTCCTGGGTTCAAGTGATTCTCCTGCCTCAGCCTCCCGAGTAGCTGGGATTACAGGCGCCCACCATCGCGCCTGGCTAATTTTTGCATTTTTAGTAGAGACAGGGTTTCGCCATGTTGGCCGGGCTGGTTTCGAACTCCTGACCTCAGGTGATCTGCCCGACTCAGCCTCCCCAGCTGCTGGGATTACAGGCATGAGCCACCTTGCCCAGCCTATTTATCTGATTATGTAAATAAAATGTTTATAAACCATGACCTACATTTTCTATGCAATTTTAAGATACTCAGAGTTAGTATTTTAATATTGAGTTTCTTGATTTTTTTAATGATCAGCTTTCAAATTATATTTCAGTATACACTCTGAGTCTACGTGTATGCTACAAAAGGTGAAATGAAGTTAGCTTATTTTTCAGTGAGTTTAGGCTATATTAAGAGTTAGGTTAGTTAGGTAAGGGTGAAACTGCTTTGGGGCCCAGACTGCACTGGAATCTACTATTTAAATTTAAAGGTAATTGATGGCCAGTGTTCAGTTGCACTATTTGTAACGTTTGCATGTTGGTCTGGCTCAAGTATCAGAAAAACACAAAATTCATGAAAATAGCACCTTTTATAATTTTATGCTTTTATAAAGCACTTCGTTAAAGAAGTATAGCAAATTTCTATGTATTTTAACATATAAGTCGCTGCATTTTAATGTTCATTTTTGGTATAGCTATGGTAACTTATAATAGTCATTTTTATATTCATAACTTGTTTTCTGAAAGATATAATCATTGTTAAAAGATACATTCATGTAAATGGAGTAAATCATGGGGGAATCAATCCTAATAAGTACCTTATAAATTATAAACTTATTTATATACTAGATTTCTATAACCATAAATTTTATACTGTAAAGTCCATTTAAAATAGGGTTTAATTAGGTTATTTTAATTTTTAGAGACTCCCCTCTAAATAATTTACTCTTACATTGTAAATAGATTGATGCCAACAAAATTCCTAGAGACTCCCCTCTAAATAATTTACTCTTACATTGTAAATACATTGATGCCAACAAAATTCCAATTGCTACTAACAAAGGTTTGGTTGGTGATAAGCTAATAAAAGCTACTTTGTATAGGAGGTAAATATGTGTACTGGAGGGGGTAAAAATCCACTTAGGTTATGGCAAAGATGGGAATCAAACTGGAAAACTCATAACTCCATAAAATTAATATTCTTTGTTAAGTGCCAGAGGGTTTAAGAGAACTTCTTGCTAAGAGTTTATTGATAATAATAATGCTTCAGAATATCCCATTTAAATGTACAGTGTAAATATGTAAAATATTTTACTTCCCAGGCAAGTTTGTGAATGTATTGCCACTTAGTGGCTCTTTGTGACTGGTGATTCTGTATATCTGAAACAAATAAGCTGCAAGCACTTTTGTTAAAACTTTGTCAAATAATCCTATTATGTACTTGTTCTCAGACCTGTTCTCTGGGTATGAAATGTGTTACAAGACAAGGTGCAAATTTGAAACAATGCCTGTATTGAAATAAATGATTTAAACAGATGCACTATTTGATTTGGTTTTTATTCACATCCTCAAATGAGTATTAATTTTTTTTTTTTCCCCGAGATGGAGTCTCGCTCTGTCACCCAGGCTGGATGTGGTGCATGCCACCATGCCCGGCTAATTTTTGTATTTTAGTAGAGGCGGGGTTTCACCATGTTGGCCAGGCTAGGCTGGTCTCAAACTCCTGAGCTCAGGTGATTTACCCACCTCGGTCTCCCAAAGTGCTGGGATTACAGGTGTGAGCCATAACACCCGGCCCCTCTTCCTTTATAAATGTGAGAATCTCCAGAAAGAAACCTCAGACTTTCTTCATTCCTCTCCTATTATGCAACAAGGCAAAATCAGTGCAGTGGCCTGATTTTGGCTCACTGCAACCTCCGCCTCCGAGTTCGAGCAATTCTCCTGCCTAAACTTCCTGAGTAGCTGAGATTACAGACATGCACCACCATTCCCAGCTAATTTTTGGATTTTTAGTAGAGATGGGGTTTCACCATGTTGGTCAGGCTGGTCTTGAACTCCTGACCTTGTGATCCACCCACCTTGGCCTCCCAAAGTGCTGGGATTACAGGCATGAGCCACCACACCTGGCCCAAATGATTATTTTTAAGTGTGAAAGTTTCAGGAAAAATATAAAAGGTGGGGGGCTTGAGGGAGGCATGTTTTCAAACCAGTCTTTCTTATGGCTATTGAATGAGATCTGCCATATAGTCAGTTTTTAAAAAACAGTGGCTTGCTTCTTTCTTATTTGTACCCAAAAAGTAACAACCAACAGCAGGAAATCAATGTGCCTTGTTGCATAATAGGAGAGGAATGAAGAAAGTCTGAGGTTTCTTTCTGGAGATTCTCACATTTATAAAGGAAGAGGGGCCGGGTGTTATGGCTCACACCTGTAATCCCAGCACTTTGGGAGACCGAGGTGGGTAAATCACCTGAGCTCAGGAGTTTGAGACCAGCCTAGCCTGGCCAACATGGTGAAACCCCGCCTCTACTAAAATACAAAAATTAGCCGGGCATGGTGGCATGCACCTGTAGTCCCAGCTACTCAGAGGCCGACGCAGGAGAATCACTTGAACCTGTATGGCGGAGGTTGCAGTGAGCCAAGATCGCTCACTCCAGCCTAGGCAACAGAACAAGACTCTGTCTCGGGAAGAGGGAGCTACGTGGAGTTGGGTCATCCACTGTCCAGTAGCACTGATGAAAGATAAGCAGGTCTCTCTAGTTGATATAAGTCATGCAATGTGAATTCCTCCCGAGCAAATTAATAAATTTGTACTAATCTTTTACCTTTTCTGGAAAAGCAACCCAAAACCCTTTTTCTATCAGGGACAGGAGAGTGTCATCATCTTGAATATGGACAGCATTTTATTCAAAAAATTTTTGCTGTCTTTTATTAAAATTTAAAATACAGTGGATCAGCTAGGACTTTTAGTGATAG